GTTTTTTCTGTTGTTGGCCAACTCGATAAAGAAACCTGCTTAGCAGTCTTGGGTCCAGGGGTGAAGTCCAGGAGGGTAAGAAGGCTGGGGGTGGTTGGCTGGGGTGGCTAAGGAGTATGGATGGCGTGGTTACGGCCCTGGCCTTGTGCGCTGTCCGGCTCCTCCAGTGCGGATGGCGGTATGCAGCATACCGATTCAGTCTGTTCAGCTGGCAAGTCAGCTTGGTGTCCACCTCAGGGAGAGGAAAAGGTGAAGTGCTACAAGTTCCACAGGACAAAGCATTCAATAGTTCATGTGATATTTTACTCGCCTCTCCCGCTTATGCTGGATCCTCCACCCAGCCAACAGCCTTTCCTCTGCCAATCACACCGTGCAGGGTCGACTTCCTCCTGCCGTAACTCTGCTCTGCTCTCGCACCGTCTTGGTGCAGGTGATTTTAAGCAGCCTCTCCTGATTAGTGATTATCTGCAGGTGCACTAAATTGCAAGGGGAGGTCCTCTAGGCCCAGGAGGCATGATTTGCTCTGGTGCATTTCAATTGAGTCAAAAAAGAGAAAACACATACACACTGCAAACTGAAAATACAATGAAATCCCACCCACAAACAATTCTCTCCTGGAGAACACTTTGTAAAGTTTTCCTAATTTAAGTCAACTAGCGTGATTCTGACTGAGTTTTATTTGTATCATCTTTAAAACTTGAGGCATCTTTAGATTCAGTCTTTACTGCCTGTAGTTACAACAGCCCAGTGGCCAGAAGAAAAATGTTGGCACTGTATACATGCTACATTTCCATGGTTCATATCTATCATATCAATGTTTCAAAAGTAACTTTGTATATGAGATGACTTTGTTATCTGGAGGTGGAGGAGATGGTGAATGGTGTGATATCTGTTCAAGGCCAACAAACAATGACACCAGTTGTGATACAGGAAGTCATGTCTGTTTTTGTAGCGGCTTTGTAGGCACCAAAAGTGGGTGTTCTGTAGTGACCAGGACCCCAGCCAGTTTTCATGGTGGCCAATCAGTAGAATTACAACTTCCAGGTTTGTCACATGATGCCCCGTGGCCCAAAAAGACTTTTTCTCATTGAATTACAGCAAGAAAGAGACCTCTGTAAACTAGTGGAGACATTTTTTTGTCACAACCCCTGCTAAATGACTCATTTTACTACAGGAATTAAATCCATTCAGTCAAATAACAATGAGAAAGTCGAGAAGAGCTGGACTACTGAATTCATGCCAACAGTGCATTTAACCAGAAGTAGCCAGCTCAGCCAGCAGAAGTCTCCAGTGTGCCTGCTCTATGGGTCGCACAATGTGTAAGCATTGGCTATCATTTGGGTGATCATTTGACAACTAAACCACTTTCTGAGCAATTTTCATATGAATAACTGGGGCCCTGCTGACAATGCTATATCCAGGTCTCTTTATACATCAATAGTAGCAAGTGACTGCTATGTTTCCAGCTGCTCTTTAAGCAGAATGTTATTTTAAGTTATAAAAGATGTGAGTCCTGTCTCTCTTTTCCCTCACCTCCGAAAGAGCTTCCTCTCATAGGCCATGGTGAAGCCACCTTTTCCTTTCATGGTGTGGCTGATTCTGGCATCACAGCTCAGGTTCTTTGGCTTGTAGCAGAACCAAGGCTCACCTGTCCGGAGGTCAGTGTAGTTGCACAGCGGNCTCAGAACAGTGATACTTTTACTGGTATCGTACCGTGGGTCCCAATTTTGGTACCGTGACAACACTAGATGTCACAACCATTCCATTCGGAGTTGTGCAGTGGGACGGCTCGGGTGCCGCTTAAAAAAGTGTTCCCCCACTTTTGAGAGTGGGGGAACACTGCTCTCTCAGAGTCCCAAAGTGTTCCCCTACTTCTAATTTTACAAATTAAGCACTGGCCATGCCTTTAGTTTGTTCTTTTATGTAAAATTCTGTCACTGTCTATTTTTCATTTAATCCTTATGTACATGAATATTCCCATCGACATTCAAAAGCTTTTTGGCCACAACAACTTTGTCTCTACCGGGCCATGCTACTCTTTGGAAACATTGTTGCATCCTATTTGTGGACTACAGAAACATTTTGAGGATATGCTTTAATGGCTTGGTTAGAAAAGTTCAGTAAGTTTACTGATGCTGGAACAAACTTTCACTGATTCATGGCCAAATTTGCAAACTGTAATTGACCTGTTTGGAACCGATGGCTCCCCCTAGTGACAGATCTCACACTAATTCTTCATAAGTGGTTCAACATTAGAATTTAACACACCTGGCAGATGTTTTGAGAACTACGGTTAATAGGTGTTGAAGATCCTACAAGCTGGCTCAGTCCATCTTGAGATGACGACCCTAATGCAGCCTGCCTATTTTCTATCCCAACACTGTGAATCTTATTTCTAATATAATATACATATTAATATAGCACACTTTTGAACATCTACATTTTAGTAAAATTTGACAAAAACTATAGAAATCTTGTACTAGTAGGAGTAGGCTATGAAATTGGATCAGAATCAGATATTCAGTCAAGAATGCATGAAACATATGAATATGCTTGCATTTTATGACACCATAAAATTAGTTATTTATATTTACCTTCCTGACAAGTAATGCAAATTAAGTCAAATGTCATCAAGGCTCTTGCCCAGGAAGTTGTGGTACAGTTTAGGCAATCACAACCGCCTCCTTTCCTCAGACAAGTTTTTGCACTCTTCTCCATGATTTGTAAAAACTTTTGGCAATCTGTGGTTATCCAGATGCTTTTTGCGAGCCAACTGATTAATCAAGCCAAAAACAACATAATATCATTTTAAGCAACAAAAATTGGGTACAGTCACATGTTTGGTTGTTTTGTTGATGTTTAGTATGATCAATATGGCCAACTGCTGGACCGATGACATGCAGTGAAAACAAATGTAATATATCGCTGTTATGTTTCTAGCTTGTTGCACAAAAGTGGCAAAAAACATTCATCTTTAACTTTCTGAGAAGACAAATTCAAGAGAATTGAAATGTATGAATTTACAATTAAACATGCAACCCCAAANAACTTTCTGAGAAGACCACACCTAAACTGAAATGTATGAATTTACAATTAAACATGCAACCCCAATTCAGAAAATGATGGGGCACTGTGTAAAATATGAATAAAAACGGGGTGCAATGATTTGCAAATCCTTTCTGACCTACATTCAACTGAATACAGTACAGAGATAAGATATTTAATGTTTAAACTGCTAAATTTTATAGTTTTGTAAAATATATGTCTCAGGTTTCTTTTTATCTCTGGCAACACACACAGACACGAGTGAGTCCAAGTTCAGTTTCTAAAAAAAAAAAAAAGTTTAATTACTACAGCAACAAATGTTCTTTATAACAGTTCAGATGGAGATGGGGGGGGGACCACAATAAAGTTCTTTGTTTTTTCTGTTGTTGGCCAACTCGATAAAGAAACCTGCTTAGCAGTCTTGGGTCCAGGGGTGAAGTCCAGGAGGGTAAGAAGGCTGGGGGTGGTTGGCTGGGGTGGCTAAGGAGTATGGATGGCGTGGTTACGGCCCTGGCCTTGTGCGCTGTCCGGCTCCTCCAGTGCGGATGGCGGTATGCAGCATACCGATTCAGTCTGTTCAGCTGGCAAGTCAGCTTGGTGTCCACCTCAGGGAGAGGAAAAGGTGAAGTGCTACAAGTTCCACAGGACAAAGCATTCAATAGTTCATGTGATATTTTACTCGCCTCTCCCGCTTATGCTGGATCCTCCACCCAGCCAACAGCCTTTCCTCTGCCAATCACACCGTGCAGGGTCGACTTCCTCCTGCCGTAACTCTGCTCTGCTCTCGCACCGTCTTGGTGCAGGTGATTTTAAGCAGCCTCTCCTGATTAGTGATTATCTGCAGGTGCACTAAATTGCAAGGGGAGGTCCTCTAGGCCCAGGAGGCATGATTTGCTCTGGTGCATTTCAATTGAGTCAAAAAAGAGAAAACACATACACACTGCAAACTGAAAATACAATGAAATCCCACCCACAAACAATTCTCTCCTGGAGAACACTTTGTAAAGTTTTCCTAATTTAAGTCAACTAGCGTGATTCTGACTGAGTTTTATTTGTATCATCTTTAAAACTTGAGGCATCTTTAGATTCAGTCTTTACTGCCTGTAGTTACAACAGCCCAGTGGCCAGAAGAAAAATGTTGGCACTGTATACATGCTACATTTCCATGATTCATATCTATCATATCAATGTTTCAAAAGTAACTTTGTATATGAGATGACTTTGTTTTCTGGAGGTGGAGGAGATGGTGAATGGTGTGATATCTGTTCAAAGCCAACAAACAATGACACCAGTTGTGATACAGGAAGTCATGTCTGTTTTTGTAGCGGCTTTGTAGGCACCAAAAGTGGGTGTTCTGTAGTGACCAGGACCCCAGCCAGTTTTCATGGTGGCCAATCAGTAGAATTACAACTTCCAGGTTTGTCACATGATGCCCCGTGGCCCAAAAAGACTTTTTCTCATTGAATTACAGCAAGAAAGAGACCTCTGTAAACTAGTGGAGACATTTTTTTGTCACAACCCCTGCTAAATGACTCATTTTACTACAGGAATTAAATCCATTCAGTCAAATAACAATGAGAAAGTCGAGAAGAGCTGGACAACTGAATTCAAGCCAACAGTGCATTTAACCAGAAGTAGCCAGCTCAGCCAGCAGAAGTCTCCAGTGTGCCTGCTCTATGGGTCGCACAATGTGTAAGCATTGGCTATCATTTGGGTGATCATTTGACAACTAAACCACTTTATGAGCAATTTTCATATGAATAACTGGGGCCCTGCTGACAATGCTATATCCAGGTCTCTTTATACATCAATAGTAGCAAGTGACTGCTATGTTTCCAGCTGCTCTTTAAGCACGAAAAGTGGTTGTTTCTTGCCAAGACATTGGCAAGATCCATTGGCACTTGATGAATGTTATTTTAAGTTATAAAAGATGTGAGTCCTGTCTCTCTTTTCCCTCACCTCCGAAAGAGCTTCCTCTCATAGGCCATGGTGAAGCCACCTTTTCCTTTCATGGTGTGGCTGATTCTGGCATCACAGCTCAGATTCTTTGGCTTGTAGCAGAACCAAGGCTCACCTGTCCGGAGGTCAATGTAGTTGCACAGCGGCTGCTGGATTGGACGTAGGCAGACGTTACAGACAGTAGTTTCAGAGAGTGAGCCTGTGCGGAAGAGGCTCCTGAAGTAAACCCTGTCAGGATGTTCTCTGTTCAGCCTTTTCAACACAGAGATGGCCTCACCAGGATGAACCAGCATCACCTGATTGGACAGAGAACCAGAGTTTTCACCAAATCCAAGTCATGTTAAGTCAAATTAATAAAGACAATTATTCTGTCAATGCTGCCTTTTTGCTTGTTATTCATACCCATTGTCTCTGCACTCATATGATTGTAATTCTGTCTGTCACAAAATCAGTTTGGCTTGCTGTCATCATATGCTCTGACAGGACAAGCTCATCAAAAGCCCACTCCTCTTAACATCCAGATCCTCAGCTCTTTTCATCTCATTTCATCACCACCACCACAAGCATCTAGACTCCATGGGGGGAGATACCTAATTCACTATGTCTTTACCACCCTCTTGGAATAGATGACATCACGATGGGGTCTAATTGCCAAAGACTCTTGTCATTTCTCATACTTATGTGCATATGTAAATAAATATTAATTTCTTTTAGAATGAGTATCTCCTGATTGAAATGTTGTAGTGTTTTGGGAAATATTGTTTTGTGAAATGCAGTAATTTTGTTTCTAAAATGATGTGTTTTTCTGTGTTTTGACCCTCAGGGCCACCACTGAAGATAGATTTACACACCTACAGTACAACCACATTCAACATGATAGCTTTTAGCATTACCTCAACCTGTGCGTCTCCTTCCCAGAGTAAAGAGAACACAGCAGAGTAGCTCCCATTGAGATGATCCAACACTTGCCCAGCTACACCTGCACCAAGCTTCAGGTTGTGGAGCCGGGCGAGTAAGAAGTCCCCCCCAGACTTCTTGGGATGACCATGGAAGTCAGACATTATTATCATAACCTCCAGCTGATCCCCTACTTGCCACTGTCCTCCTCCCCTCCTTGGGAGAATGGTGAAGGTGCTGTGAGCTGGATCACTGGTATTCACTGAGTAAAGAGGAGCTGGCAAAGGTGGAGTTTCAGGCCAAGCAATGGAGTCTAGTAGGAGGCGTTCCTCCAGAGTGTCCTCAAGGGAGAGTGGCTGGAAGGTGCAGAAGCTGTGATTCATGTCAGGGTGAGTGGTAACTCTCAGGAGGATGATGGAGTTCACTTCATGCTGAAACTGGCAGGGGTTAAAAGAGATTTCTAATCAATACATGGACTGGTGCAAAGGTGATTCATCCAGCTATTGATGGTCTTCTTCCTAAAGCCTCCCCCACTGCCCTCTCAACAGCATCCTTAGTGGCTTGAACATAAAAATACTAGATGAGAGCACTATTTGACAACAGCTCCCTTCTAAAATGTAACAGTTATACTTTTGCTCTCTAGGGAAATGTTCATTTTTGAGTCCAGCCCAACTGATAAGCCTTTGTCTATGGGCCTGACTTAGCTGCACACAATCTGGAATTTTACATCTCTAAGGCGACGTGATTATTCAAGAAACCCCTAAATCAGTTGTAGAAAGGAAACTTTCACTTTAACAAATGAGTTACCTTATTTTAACCTTTAAACAGATTCTGTATGCAGAAGCTTACAGCAATGAAACTGTAATATCAATCAGATGTAATAAGTGCAATCAAAACGGAATTAATCAAAGACAATGAGTCAATTATTTTCTATCTTTGCCCTATTGCTCCTTTACTCGTGACCTCCTGGGTTCTGAAGAACAAGGCTGGAAGTAAAAATGCAAAAAGTCCAAAAACCTCCAAAATCAGTAACAGCAACTCATTTAGTGGATTGAGTGTGAACAGGATAAGCTCCAGCACTCGCAGTAACCTCATCTCATCAGGCCCTGGTTCATCTCAGTCTATGGCAACAGAAAAATTGTTCTGCTCAGTTAATTGGTTTGTTCGAGATGAGCCAGGCCTGCGCAGATTCGATCACCGGCGATCGGCGCACAATGCATGCCAGTTAGTTTTGTGTCCGACTTCATCCCGACTTCATCCGACTTGCTCTGACGTATTACAAAAGTGGATGTCGATAAAATCGCAAAAGCGAGGCGGCTGCAATTTTTAGAGCCAGGCGCTGCAGTTGCTCTCCACCGACTGCAGCGCCTAGCTCTCACCTGATCCAACAGCTGATTGGTTTAGATGTCAACTCAACGATATGACGTTTTAGATAAACTATTCACTTAAGTTGAATTTCAGAAAACATTTTATTTGTTTGATTTGAAGGTTTATTGTGTGAACAGAAAACATGTGTGACTGATGGTGAAGTTTAGTTGACCAACATTAAACATTTCAAATGGGGTCCATCATTCAAGTGATCCCACTAAAAACAGGTTCTCACCTCCAGAATGTCCATGTTGTGTAGCAGTAAGATTAAGACAGCCACGGCCAGAACGAGGAAGATGGCGCTCCACTCCCTTCTTGTACAAGCTCTGGCCTTCATGACAGTCCTGATCTATGGCAGCAGTAGCACTGTAACAACTTCCTCTGGTACTGAATAAAACATAAAAAGGGTAACTGAAACCTTGTTATGCTGAAACTTGAACCTTATTGTGAAATTCTCTCTATACAAATAGAATGACATGTCCAACTTTCAGCTATCATGACTAGATCCGGTCTTACAGGTAATTCCTTTGATCAACCATCCATGAAAGCCACAACCAAAGACAGCAGCCTCTCTTGTAGTTAGGCAACCCCATAATGTACAACATCATGTACTGTAAATATCTGAATTCATCTGTACACTGCAGTCTCCTTTGATCCACAACACAACAAGTTGCACACGTTTTCCCTGTCATGACACAGATCAGAATAGCCTTCTGCAAATTGTTCAAATGTATTTCTGCCAAGACAACAAATGTAGTTGATGTGACACACCCACCCACCTGCTCATTTGCCGAAAAAATTGTGTTTGCTCGATTTCCTGGTAATGAATGTGAGGGTGGTGACTTCAGACAGCACTGGAGCACGCTCACAGCAGTAATAGANTAACCTTTAAACGGATTCTGTATGCAGAAGCTTACAGCAATGAAACTGTAATATCAATCAGATGTAATAAATGCAATCAAAACGGAATTAATCAAAGACAATGAGTCAATTATTTTCTATCTTTGCCCTATTGCTCCTTTACTCGTGACCTCCTTGGGTTCTGAAGAACAAGGCTGGTAGTAAAAATGCAAAAAGTCCAAAAACCTCCAAAATCGGTATCAGCAACTCATTTAGTGGATTGAGTGTAAACAGGATAAGCTCCAGCACTCGCAGTAACCTCATCTCATCAGGCCCTGGTTCATCTCAGTCTATGGCAACAGAAAAATTGTTCTGCTCAGTTAAACGGTTCGTTCGAGATGAGCCAGGCCTGCGCAGATTCGATCACCGGCGATCGGCGCACAGTGCATGCCAGTTAGTTTTGTGTCCGACTTCATCCCAACTTGCCCTGACGTATTACAAAAGTGGACGGCGATAAAATTGCAAAAGCGAGGCGGCCGCAGTTTTTAGAGCCAGGCGCTGCAGTTGCTCTCCACCGACTGCACCGCCTGGCTCTCACCTGATCTAACAGCTGATTGGTTTAGATGTCGACTCAACAAGATGACGTTTTAGATAAACTATTCATTTTTGTTGAATTTCAGAGAACAACATTTCATTTGTCTGATTTGAAGGTTTATTGTGTGAACAGAAAACATGTTGTGTGACTGATGGTGAAGTTTAGTCACCAGAGACTGAATACATTCATCATAAACTATACAGAGTCTACTGTATATTGACACTGGATTGTTTTAATTATTGAGGTATTTAACATCACAGAGACTTGTGGTCAGTGGGATGTGAGGATTTTTAAAATAACATCTGTACAGATGTGAAGCCCTGACTGTATCTGACTGAGCCTTAAAGGGCCAGTGTGTAATATTTGGCATGGTTTATTGTCAATCTGAATCTGAATCTGAATCTGAATATTCTACCCATTAATATGTTTATACAAGTGTATAATTGCTATAAAATAAAATTTGTTTGGTTTTCGTAGCCTTATAATTATGCTTTTATATATATATATAGCATGGGCCTTGCTTTAGAGAGGTCGCCATCTTGCGCCGCCATGTATGTACGGCAGCCCGAGTGGACAATCCAGCCAGCCAGAGAACGCGTTTCGCGTGTATAAATAAACCAACGAAGACAGCGGAAGGAAGGAAGAAGGAGGAAGAAACAGCAGAGTGTTAGTAGTTCGTCAATAGAGAGTAGTGAAAAGTTTTTTTAGTTATAAAGTTTGCGAATGGACCACACTTACCACGCAACGGGAGAGAATGAACCCGAACCGTCATCTGCGAGGAAAAGAAGACGCAACTTCACTCCTCGTGATGCACTCTCTGCGGCGCTTTTCCTCATGATGATATATCTCCCCAACAATGGTAGCAGTAGCACCAAATCCCATTCTGTGCATTCAGCCTCTCTTCTCGCCCGCTCAGCATCAAACACATGGAGTTCCTCATCTGTATGCTCCGGCTCAAACAGGTATGGCTCTGGGTCTGTGTCC